AAAAATAAAATAAAAAAAATAAAAAAANAAAAAAAAAAAAAATAAAAAAAAAATAAAAAAATAAAAAAATAAAAAAAATATGAAAAAGAATTCCGTCCTTGTTTTGGATGTGATAAATAGTAGGCTTTGAAAATTGAATGAGTAGATGGATTGTGGATGGATGGGAGGGAGCTGAAGAGTTCGTCTTTTGAAAGGAGGTTTGTTGGTGGTGATGATGATGATGATGGTGGTGGTTGCTGCGGAGTTTCTAAGTCGGGCGTGGGTGCGTGGGTCTTGTTAGGTCGGTACCGGTAGATGCGTGATGCGTAGACGGACGGATAGACGGTAGACGGTTGTGGGGCGGGGGAGAGGGGGGTTGTTACGTGTGTATGCGGAGTTGGAGAGGTGATGGATGAGATTGGGAGTCGATTTTTTAGGGGGCTTGGTGGTTGGTTTGGTTTGGTTTTATTTACCTGGCAGGTCTATTCTACGTCTGCCTAGGTACTTACTATTTAATCTCGTTTCATTACTTAGTTAGTTAGTTAGTTAGTTAGTTACTTACTTACTTACTTACTTACTTACTTACTTAGCGAGTGTGTTGGGTGAAAGTTCGAAATGTAGTGTTGAAGGGTGGGTGGGTAGTGATAGATGTGTTTGTGTATGTGTGTGTGCATGAGAGATCGGATGGTATTGTAGACTCTGGAGACTTGGGTTGGATGTTCGGTATGGTTTTATGATTATCGCATTCTGGATGGGGCTTGTACCTCTTTTTCTTTTTTTCTTTTTTCTTCTTTTTTTTTCATACGGGAAAGGCTTGTTGATATTGGAGTCGTTTTGACTGCTTCTGATCTGTTCTGCTTATGGATGCTGCTAGTAGCTAGCTAGCTGGATTCGACCAACAGAACGAACCGTGGGGACTTTGAGATGGAGGGGGGTTTTTTTCTTCCTTTCTTTGGCTCAAAATCTGGCTAGAAGCTGCTGAGTTGTTGGACTTGCTGAGCTAAGCTGTGGTGAGTAGCGGTAGTGAGATGTTTTTGTTGTGCTGGCTGATCGGATCTTAGGGGATGGTAAGGTAGTTAGTTATACTCCGTACTTTTTTGAAAGAAAAAAAGAAAGAAAGAAAGATAGGTCAGATGGTTCAGAAAGGAGAGAATACCGGATGGTGTTTGCAATTTCTGATTGAGAAAAATAAGTACCCATCATTCGAGGATGTACAAACTGTCGAACATTGCTCTAAACATGGCCGGGGCTTGTCTCGTCTGATTGAGGGCTGCCAGATTTAGCTCATGCCACAAAATGACGTTCAGCTCAGGCTCGAGAACAAGTAGCACGGAGGCTCAGATACGTCTTCGCTAATTTCGCTCCTGCCGCCTTCAGGGGCTTCGAAACACGTGATATATAAACGTTGGTAGCATTCAGCGGTATGAGATAACGAGACTCAGTTGGCTATTTGTTTACAAACTTGTAATGGAAAGGGATAAAGACATAATCACCAACGCGATAATTCTGACAAGCAAATTTAGACAAGAAGAAGAAAAAAGCCAACCAGAACTACACACGTGACGAGATGACCTCACCCCCGCCTGTTCCTTGCACAGTCCATCAACTGGGTCAATTGGGGGGAGCAAAGCGATTCGACATACTGTTCTCTCTCTCTCT